TGGGGTGTTTTTAGTATGGTATTGTATCATAGTGTGGGTCCTTGTTCTTAGAGGTTTGTGGGTTCGATCCTTACTAGCTACCATTTGTATTATATCAAGTTGGAGTGATTTTTAGTGTTGTATAGTAGTTTTATGTTTGTATATGAGACTAGGGTTCAAATCTTCTAATTTCCGGTCATGTTAGTATTTTATGTGGTATAATATAAGGAGCTTAACGAGTAATATAGATCTGTTACATCTGGTATAGTTCTTTAATGGTGGAAATGATGTATTCTTACACCTCTTTTAGCTTTATATTGGATAGGGTTTGAGACTATCCCCTCATTAAGTGAGGCCAAGTTAAACGTTATACAACCTATCCAGTTTATAATATTATATACCAGTTTATAATATTATATAATATTATATTGGTTGATGTCGTTTAACGTCCTCTCCTTTATTTATAAAGCTTTTTTTTGTCAAGTCTATAGATTTAGTTATATAACCCTGCCAAGAAAGTTAACAATCAAGGTTTACAGGCTTTTTAGTCAGCCATGCCAGTGACCTTCACTCATGGTTTACGGGCTGTTTAGTTGGCCGCGCCAGTGACCAATAACATTCACACAAATACAAAGAGGGGCACAGGTTCTATCCAATCTGAATCCCTCAGTGTACACACATTCACACAAGTACAAGGAGTAGCACAGGTTCTTCTAAATCTGAACTACTCAATGTACACACACACTCACACCTTGGTCAGGTTACATAAGTATATATCTATAGACTTGTTTTTTTTACTAGGAGAGCTATATACATTAATATACAGTGAAAATTACAAAATTATTTACAAAGAAGTTTACATTTACAATACACTTTATGTGGCCCTTTGGACTTTTCTGTAACCAAAAGGTAAAGTGTCATATTGACCTTCGTACCTTCTTTTAGGACCAGTTATTTTAAACACTTTGCTCTCAGCGATGGTGACGATGTCTCTGTCTCTAGTCCTTCTGATTCTACTTTCTTCAATTTCAACAGTCTGTTTTGCTTCACTCAGAACCATCTCTTTTAATTTTTCAAAATTTACAACTTTTGATGTTTTAAAGTTAAGGGTGAGGCCCTTGATTTTACATATTGGGATCAATTTTTGTTGATTGGTTGACCAGACAAGGTACGCGTAAGTTTTAGGCCCCCCAGAAACAAACTCAGTAATATAAGAGCCAGGTCCATACTCTACTAATTCATCAGTCATTTCACCGAGGTAATCTCCTGTAGGAACGCTATACAGGCCTTGGCGGTGGTAGAATATAACACTGTCTGTGTCATAATATAATACTTGAGCTCCTAGGGCCTCAAGGTGTTCATAGAGCTTGAGTCTCGCCTGTGAGGTAGTGTAGGCCGCGATACAAACATTTACATTACTAAGAGGTTCCCCCACTTCCTCTAAATACTCCCATGAAACTACCACAACCTCATCATTAACAATCTGAATTCTGTTTACTTTAATTTCGGGGCTAGAGAGCATTATAAATAATGTTTTCGAGTCTCTAACAATAGTAGCTTTAGTTTGATTTTCCCTCTGAACAAATTTTCCCCAAAAACTATTTAGCATTAATTTTGCCAAAGATCTCAAACCCCCATTCTTAACAATTTTATCTTTCTCCAACATGATTCCCTCATGTCCCAAATACTCTGCAATATACTTATTTTTGTCCTCCTCAGTTTTGCACCATTCCGGATAGCCCGAAGCTTCCTGTTTCATCTTAAGAAATTTATTGATAAAATCGGTGAACAAACCCCCGTTTTCATAAGTCGCTACCTGATACTCCCACAATTCATACATGTCCAATACAATATACCCTTTCTCTACTGCCTTTCTGATCTCGTCCATAGTCCATGTCCCAACAAGAGCCCTATTATCACTATCATGATTACATTCTCCCTGATACATCATTTCCCCACATGTTCTACACAACACAAACATCAATTTATCATTCATTTTTGTAGGGAGTACAGGATGGTAGAGATCAAGAGGCGGCAATACTTTACATTTTAACAAACCCTCTACACCCATACCTCTTTCACGACACTCCCTGTCTCCTACATAGATGGTTGGGTGACCTACAGGATACTTCCCATACTTACAAACATAAGGGTACAGAGAACAAACATCGACATATTGTATAGTTTCCCCCTCAACACATTTGTGGTAAGATTTCGCATTACCCGTCCTACCTCCAAAGAAAGACTGTCTCGGATCAAGTGGAAGATTGTTTAAGATAGGCAAACTGTCCAGATGGTTGAGATTTTCATCTTTTTTCTGTTTACGAAATTCGCATTCCCACATCTCTACTAGTGCGTGTTCTGTAAACTTTGCATTTTTAGCCTTGGTTCGCTCATAGCGAAGATGTAGGCTATCAGAAGGGTCCTCTTTTAAGGGGGCGTGACGGTTGTAAGGAAAACATTTAGGACACCCATGGAAATAACAGCCATGAAATTCGTAGATGTTCCTGCCATCAAACCCGTCTACTTTCATTCCATTGACTTTGACTTCTTTGCCTCGACCTGCGTGGTCAATCCTAATCCCGTTGGTTTCCTCAACCCAAGAAAGCCACTGGAGTGCTATATTTGATTGATTGTCTACTAATCGATAGCCATTCTTAGGGATGAGTCCAATAGTGTTAGGTTTCAGGAAATTACGGCGGAAAGCTAGATTGCAGGCACTTGCAATGGTAACAGCCTCGAGAAACGGGTCAACATTACACTCTTTTAGGAAAATTGAGCGAAACTTTAGACAGGCTTGAGCTAAGATATCAACATCTGAAATACAATAGGCTAGGATCTCGTTTTTGAAGTTGAACACATAGTTGTTTGCCACCTGGTCACTATACCATTTTTCAAAGTCATTATGGGATTTCTCAAACATAGATTCGGGACAGTAGTACTTTTTATCCGGCATAGGGCCTACATAATCTTGGTTTGCCAGAGTGTTGAAAAGATGGGGAAAGTAGCCTTTCTTTTTCTCTGGAGGTAGGTCAAAGGCTTTAGGTAGAGCAGACAGAGCCATAGGAAAATAGCTAAGTGAGTCGACAAACCTCACATTGTCGACTTCCATTAGGATGATTTTAGTTCCCCGCATTACAAGTTCTGGTGTAAATTTTGTTTCTTCCAACAAGTACTTTAGCAAAAATTGAAAGTCAAACCCCTGCCCATTGTGTGCAATTACGCAGACGTTTTTAAACTGTTTCCTTACATACATTACATAGTTCATAAACTGTTTGATAGGGTCAGAGTCAAACACTCGTGTACGATTTTTACATGCAATACAGAATTTCCCCTCAATACATTGGTAACAAAATTGCTGAGACACACACAAGTTTACTTTATGCAATTTACTTTCAGGGTCAGAGGGCAGAGGCTCATCCTGGCGGGTTTCCAAGTCAAAGAAAATAAAAGCATAATCTTTAGATTTAGGTTTTCCCTCATTGGGCTTCATATAACATTTATGGTTGGGATCTTTATACTCCCCACAAGGTTTACAAAATACTTCCCCACACTTGTGAGGCTTGGACCTCTCTTTAAGCAAAACTAGTTTCCCACAGTCAAGGCATTTCTTCACATGTTTACACCTATCAACCTGATGTGCGATAAAACAGCGTTGGTTTTTATAAGTTAGATTGCATTTAGGACACAAAATTCCCCCATACTCCTCTACACAAGGAGGTGAGATGGTTTGGCAACAAGGACAAATGTTTGAGCATCTGTGAGCTCCTTTATGATCATACGGGATATGACAGGCCTCACAAAAATATTTACAAACAAAGGCTGCTGTCAAGCTAGTAATTACATTATAATGTCGGTTATGAAACAACAAGTTAATTTTAAACTTGGGGTTCTCAACACTACCCTCAAAATATACATCGCGGCCTTTAGCGTTGTAGTTGTACACAGTTATTTTATAATCTTTAAGCAGATGTTGGAATTTTTCAAGTTCGGGAATGCCAGCACCACCCTCAGGCATCACGACTCTAGCTCTACGTACAAGTTCCTGAGCCCTAACAGTTTGCCTATTTGCCCTATCCTTTTTTACTAAATCATATTCAGGATCTCTAGTTGCATTAGCTATAGCCACTACAATAGCGCGGGGAAGACACAGGTTATCTTTATTATTAATTACAACAACCCCTCTTCTTGCTTTACATTCTTCATCAAAGGTGTTGTACAAGCCTGGTCTTCTACAGGTCCCTGAACCTACAGGTAGATTAACTCGGGTACATTCGACTTGAAACGTATCTGTGGACTTGATTGATTCAGCATTTGATTGTACAATTCCCCCAAATATTTGCCACAAAACATCCTCGTTAACTTCATTTGCAGAGCGAAAAGCAACAAACCCCGGCTCTTTACTTTTTAGGTTAAGTGAACGCAGAGTGAATCCCAATTGATCGCCCTCCTGACAAACTTCTTTCATTTCATTAACAATTTGACCAAACCCTTGTCTTAGCCAGTCAATCTCACTAGTTTCTGGTGGGGGGTTAGAAAACTTAAAAACAGTATTAATTCCATGAATTCTAAATCTCTTTACATAATTTTCATGTTTATCTAAAATATTTACAGGGACAATTACTTCAACAGAATCTTCTACAACATTTACAGGTTCATTACTATCAATAGATTCATTGGAATCTACTGGAGCAGAGTTACTTACATCCATCATCTTGAAGCACTGGGAGCAAAGTGATGCAATAATGGCAGGGTTGCGATAAGAGTTTATATAGGGACAAAGATAACCACAAATGTGGTTATCAAAGGTGACGTGGTACACAAGAGGAAGTGATAGCTGTTTTTAGATGATGCAATACCACAAAAGTGGTTATCAAAGGTGGTTATCCGGTTGTGGTACACAAGAGGAAGTGATAGTTGCTATTTTGGATGATGCAATACCACATAAGATGTAGACATTATATTTAATATTATATACTATATAATTATTATATACTAATTATGTTTATTGTTTGTTTCAGATAGCTGCCTCTCTCCTCCTCTGCTAGCGTTAAGTATTTAGTTGTAGAAATATGTATATAATATAAATAGAAATAATATAAGTTGATATATATATATATATATATATATATATATATATATATAAATAAATTCATATTTAGCTTTCACAACTGTTTTCATTATTCTTTCAACTGAATATCCAACAGGTTTTAAATTGCATCATCTAATAGGGGAAGCAGTCCACCAGCTAAAACAGCCAGCAGAAAAATTGGCGGGAAAGCAGATAATACAATACATAAAGTGAGGTTATGTTACATATACAAAATCACATAAGCAGCTAACAGTAGTTGGCAGCATTGGTGCTGCTACCTAGCGGATAATTTATAAACTAATACCTCAACTCAGAGTAATAAATTAATAGACTTGTTTAGGTTAAAAGTGAGGTTATGTTACATATACAAAATCACATAGGCGGCTAACTGTAGTTGGCAGCGTTGGTGTTGCTACCTAGTGGATAATTTGTAAACTAATACCTCAACTCAAAGTAACATATTGTCAACACTTAATAATAAATTAATAAGTAAAAAGTGAGGTTATGTTACATATACAAAATCACATAAGCAGCTAACAGTAGTTGGTAGCACTAGTGCTGCACCCTAGTAGAGAATTTGTAAACTAATACCTCAACTCAGAGTAATCTGTTATGATGAATCTTATATCAAGTTAATCATTATTATAATTATACCATCAACTATGGTAAATTAACAGACTGGTTTGGATAAAAGTAAGGTTATGTTACATATACAAGAGATCACATGATCAAACCTCCTAGACTCATATACAAACAGTTAACTATACCTTGAAGCAACATATCACCGAAAATAAAACATTTTGTGATTGGTAAGAGTCAAACCATGAACCTCTAGGACTCCCACCACTCCTACTACGTTATAACACTATACCTAAAAATACCCCAATTAGAAATAAAACGTTTGTTAATAGTTACTTGGTATTTGGTGAATAGTTAGGATTAAACCCGCAAACCTCTAGCTCATACACAGCTTCATACACAACCAACCGTTAGAAAAAAACATTTACACACCCCATTACCCTTTAGACACCCCAAATATACATAACATCTATAAAATGTAAATTTAACATAATATATTTGGTGGCCTTTACAAAGGACATTTTTTATACTCAATGGTAAACTTAATCCCTCTTTCAGCTATTTTTAACATCTGTTTATTTCACATTTATTATACACTAGCTGTAACCCGCGGGCTTTGCCCCGTTTAACTTCTTAATTTTCAAGATTACCTTGTTCGCATAGCTCAATCACGTCCTGGTTTAAGTTTGTTCGCTACAAACCTCTAATGATAGGTTAAGATCAAACCCGTAAACCTCTAGCATAGATTATAGGGTTAAACCCATAAACCTCCAATGATATATTTTATGTTAGGTTAGATTCAAACCCGTAAACCTCTAGCATAGGTTAGGATTGAACTCATAGACCTCCAAATGATAGGTTAGGATTGAACCCGTGAACCTCCCACTATAATACCATTAGGGGTTGGTTGGATTCGAACCCGTGAACCTCTAGCATAGGGTTAGGATTAAACCCCTGAACCTCTCACTATAATACCATTAGTGGTTGGTTAGATTCGAACCCGTGAACCTCTAAATAATTGGTTAGGATTGAACCCATAGACCTCCAAATGATAGGCTAAGATTAAACCTCCAATATTTACACACCCTGTAAGTTGACACACTCTATAAGTTAAGGTGTCATTTACCGATATAAAACCTATACCCATAACACTGCTGTTGTAGCTCAAATAGTAACGACTCCGACTACCATTCAAAAGAACCGAGTTCGAAACCCGGCCAAGCCAACACTTTTTATCCATAATTTAATAATTTATTTAATACAAACACCTACTGACGTCAGCTAATACGCTGTGGTTAGATTACATCCAGCTAATCAGCTGAGAATACCCTATCTACACCTAGATCATCTCAAGGTCAATTTTGTCCGCAATCTGTGCTACGTCTACTGCCACTAGGGTCTACAATTTAAAGCCCCAATTAACTTTCTTCTTTATATCTTTTGCTCCTTTGGAACGGTTGTACTTTTATCTGTTGCTAGATGTTTCATGGTGGAAATCAAGTAAGTTATGAAATAAAAGACAATAATAACAACTAGAAATAAATACATCATTGAGTGCTTAAACAAATAAAATAAAAACAATAATTTAAATATATGTTTCACAATTATCAAATTTCTTCAATTTATAAAAATAATAGTTCACTATTAAAAAGTATAAAAAGTATATGACTCAAGATTCACTATAAAATAAGGGATTAAAATGGTGGAATCTCCTTTCTAAACGTATCCTGAATAAAGTCATTCCAGTATTAATATTGCAGTAGAATAATATATTCTTACCTCAATCTATAGCATGAACAAATAATATGTCAACCTAAAACTATAAATTTCTATTTGAGTCATGTAACTAGCCGTATAATAGTGCGAAATTAAATGTTTCATAAAGGTAAAAATATTTTATAAATATATAATGTTATATTGTGCAATTTATACTAACCCAGTGTAATTTGTATAACATTAATATGGTAAAAGATTGAGGCTAACCCCTTTATTTTGATCTTAGCGCTCATTTCTCACTGGCTACTACAAAAAAATCCTGACACACCATTTTCCCTGATTCTGTTAAGACGTTTTTAAAATTTTTCTCAACAAACATACAAAGTATTTTTATTTTATAACATAATTTCAAAAACTACAGTTTTATTGACAAGGTAGCTTTATATAAAGTAAAATATTATGGGAAATTATGGATTAAAATGATAAATATTTCTTTGTTGGACGCAAAAAGAGATACAAAGGGAATTGTATTGCAAATTTTATCACAAATTGTATTTGATATTAATATCAAGAGAAACAATAAACAAAGAATGCAATCTACTTTTGTACTTGGTTCAGTTGAATAATCAAAGCAGCTCAAGCTCCCAGAGATATTAGGTTTCAATTCAAATAAAACAACATAACATAAATTCACATAATACGCTTTGGATGGAAAAAATATTATTCATTAGGGTGATTTATAACAAGCTTATATCTTACATTAGCATAATGTGCTATAAACGTATATTAAATTATCATTTTGAAATATCCGTATGTAATAATTGGTGATACTGTTCGCCATTGTCCTTAGTAAACTTTACAAAAAGTTTTTTTGCCAAACATTATTGCTAACTAATAATGTAGGTACAATATTCGTAGATCCACAATTTTACCAATAATCAAATCTATAACATTAGTTCCTTCCATCCAAGGCATTGACTTGATCAGAAAATCACTAAAACTACTACTAAAACACGCTACTCCATTGCCCAGACATTATTTTTGGAAAAAACAAACACGATACTTAAAAAAAAATGGAAAAATAAAGTAAATAAGTTATTGAATTATGCACTTAAAAATTAAATTACCCTATTCACACGATACCACAGCAATACCAATTCAATAGCAATACCAAACCACTGTTAGTATTTGAAAGTTATCATTTTGTTCTTTTTTATGCTGCTTTGTTCAAATTAGCTGTTATCATAAATTCAAACAAAAAGTTAATAGAGCTGCAACCCTGTTAGTAAAATGTTATAATGCTATTGAATGTCATAGAACCAACTTGTTTTTTGAAACAGCTGTTAAGATTCATTAATTCCTCTTAAAGATGAAAAATCACAAGGTTAACATGGGAAACTCCAGAGCCACTAGGGCGGAGCCCAAAGCTCAGATCTGAATAAATACTACTTAGTTTTTCTACTTCATGCCTAAAGAATCAGTCTACCAAATTTCAGTCTTCTAGGTGAGTGGGAAGTAGGAAAATTAGCAACGAGTGAGGCAGTGAGGGCTTTGCCTTGTTAATGTATCGAATTGGTTCTCGCAGATATTTATGCATCTGTTTTTTTCTTAAGATACGGTGCAGATTTGTACACAAAGATAATAATAATACTTAAATGTTGATTTGTATATTAAATATTAGCATTGACTAGTAGATACAGAAGTTGTATTAATAGTCAAAGATATTAGGCTACAACAATTTGTTTAACAATTGAGCTTTTTCGGTACTTTGGACCCTTATAATAAGCCTCTACTGTACTGTACTTACTCCTTCCAGTAAAAATATAAGTTGTTATGGCAATACAGAAATTTGTATGTTCGGCTCACCCGTTTACATACCGGGACATTGGCGTACCTTCAAAGAAGACCCAGCGAAGTGTTCCTTAGATAAAACACCTAGTATTCTAGTAGCCTAGTACTCTAATTTAATTCAAATATTTCTAATTCCTATATGATTTAGTTTTACCTTTTTTACTCCAACCCGACTTTATAAACTAAAGTAGATTTTTAAAAATGACTTTAGACCCCCCCATACAAAACAATATCTAATTAGGCCATCTACTCTACATTCCCTTTCTACCCAGACAGGGACAACGTGATGTTCAAACCAGAGAGACAGGCGCCCGTGAGATGGTGTTTTAAGGGTCCAGGGGTAGCTTGTGTCCGCCTCACGGCCGTGGTTTGCCTGGCAGATTTGTAAATAAGTTAAGCGAAGTGAGTTGACCACTCTTGAGCAGCTGAGTGAGTCGGTAGTGCAATCGCTGGTAAATCCAGCAAATCAGTAACTCTCTCTCGACTCGGCGTACACGGTTTTGGCTCAGGCATCTTAACAGTCTTTAAACTCTCATAAACAAAAGATCTTTTAGGAAAAGGATTTGCTACAAATTTTGCCACCCGAACATACCAAACTTTAGCCTCTCATCTTGAAAAAAGTTGTCCTTGCTTGATATTGTTGAAAAGCAGAATACAATGGGATGATGCGTCTAACACGGAATGAACAAATTTCCGGGTCATTTTAAAAATGAATATAAAATAAGTGGTTATTTATTTAAGGATAAAAGTTCCTATTGTCGAATAAATTATAACTATTAGTGTAACCACAACAACAATACAATATATGACAATATCGAATAAATATCAATAAATAACGTGCAAATAATATATCTTTAAAAATAACATTGGCAATTATTTAA